TCGGTCCAAATAGTTTCTGAATCGGAGTTTCTGAATCGGTCCAAATAGTTTCTGAATCGGTCCAAATAGTTTCTGAATCGTAGTTTCTGAATCGCGGATAGTTTCTGAATCCGTTTTCTATCCTACCTTAGCCATACAAGTATGGCCTGTAGTGACCAGAGGGTCTTCAACCCTTCACAGGTAAGTAATTGGAGCTGCCAGCTTTCTCTGCATGGCCTAGTAGTAGGCAGGCTTCTTTCCGCTCTCAAGGATAGGTACATGGACCACTCCCGGGTCCCGCTTTGCAATCCGAGCGCTGAGAGCCAAATCACGTGCGCGGAGCTTTGAAAGCGAGCTTTGCAGCCTTGGAACCAGAAAAAGTGCAGGTGCTACTTTTCGACGCGTTGTGTGTTGCACGGCCTAATTCTGATCCCAACGCATGGCAAGCACGCCCCAATGGGCTGCGGGTAGAGTACCAGTGGGGCTTCTTTCTCAAGTCCGTTAGACGTAAGAGCTAGAATCCTCTGAAAGACTTGGGCTTTGAGTCTGCACCGACTGAGTGACCATGTGCTGACTTGTGAGATCCTCTCCGTCTGAAGTAGGTGGCTGCATGCGTTGAGCTTGCAGCCTCCCTCCCTCTTCCATTCTATGGACAGACGCTCCAAAAATACATAAAAATGCAACAATGAAGGTTCGGAAAGTAAGCTTCATTTCTTTCAAGCTGATTACAAATATGTAGGCTGAGAGGAATTGTTGAGTGGAGATCTGAAGGTAGCAGATTCCGAGAGACGACAGCCTCAATGGAGCCAACGAAGATCAGTCGAAGGTATGCTAGCAGCACGGGGCGTCCCCTCACTCAAACCCCCAGATGCTGACCCCTTGTGAAGGAACCCTGCCTAGGAAACTAGCAGCTCCTTCCATAATCCAAGGTGCTTCTGCGGACTGCAGCTTGACGTCGTCGTCCCGGCAGCGCTTGCAATGACCCTAGCTCAGCAGGCACGGTCGGCGCAAGCATACAAAAGCTTCCTGAGTGTCGTGCTTGTCTTGTGCTCGGGTCTGCTACAACTACGTGGAGATGAGGCTTCCGAAGCATTTGTCAGGGACGCCTTTCTGAAATAGATCGGCTGGCTTCTCGTGGTCCAGTGCTTGCCAATGACTGCTGTAACAGCTTCATGTAGAGCCATCAGGAATGACAGGCATAGCGCACATGACCAATTCAGTAGGCCAGCTCCTCAGATTGGCCAAAGCTGACTCTGCTGAAAACCCTGCAATAGAAAGCCTCTGCGCTCACGAAAGATAGCTGCAGGACCCTCTGCTTGAGGTACAGGCAAGTTATGGCCCACATCAGCAACTAGTTGCGTCATCATCATGCAGCCCTCCTGCAGAGCCCAGATCAACCTCATCAACAAGTTTGGCTGTATCAGCAAACTAGACACTTAGAGTTTGCCCTTTGTAAACATTCTTATCCAACGAGGTTGTTTTGACGCTGTCGCCACGTGTATTGTCTAATTCAATGGTAAATCGAACTCCCTGAGATGTTGCAAAGAAAGAAGTGCTGCTCGCAGCCAGCCAGCCCACCACGCCTGGACGCTTTCGGTCTTGTCGCGCATCGATCGGGCTGGCACGTGGTACGAGACGTGGGTCGGGTACAGAGGGTACAGAAAAATGCCATGGCATGCCATGGCTTGTAGGGCTTGGGATCCGAGAGCCGGTAAAACTGAGGAGGAAAAAAGGTTGGAGGAAAATCATGTCTGGATTCAAGATCTTTAGGTTGCTTTCCCAGCTCCCTGGGCAGTGGCTACAAGAATCCATAGCGAATGCTTGCTTCACCTGGTGTCCATGAGCACTGATGAACAGCTATCTGCCAGTTCTAAGCTGTTATGCTTCAGATACGTGGTCTCGCGATGAGAAAAAACAGCTGTAGTTCCCACACAGCTTGCCCCTGCGATATACTGCTGTCAAAACACTGCAATCAGTTGAGCTTCCAGCGACAGAGTCACTTGCAGAGATGATTTGAGACCAAGCATTGCCCGAGTCCTCGCCTAGACTGCCGATGGCTTTGAAGAGGGTCTTAGCAGCCAGCAAAAGGATGACAAAGGCAAGCTTCAGGTCGCGAGCTCAGCTTCTGGACGGGCCCAGCTAGGAGATTGAAGTAAAAGCCGCAGAGGGCCCTTGTTCCTAATCAGGAGAGCACGGCCGCATAGACCATCACTACCGGTGCAAGGAGGCCTTGAGAGCTGTACATTTTTGTGGATGCTGCGCGAACCAAGGTCCCTGGCACCCATCAAGACCTTCCCCCACTGTGGGTGAGCCGTGCAAAACAAGTTGAAATGAAATCAGACCAGTCTCTCCATGAAGGAACTTTGGGAGGAGAGCTTTGCTCTCATTGCTACTCCATTAAAAGGCACGCCAGCTAGAGTCTGGAGAGCTTGGCAGAAACTAGGGTACTCCAACAGGCCTACTCGTGTTGTTTTCGAAGGTTCTTTGTAGCTTCCAGAAGAGACCCTGATCTTGGAAAGTCTTACTGGTATTCTCAGCCCGCGGCTTTGCGGTTATCCTGAGTCTGCTGGAGGGCCTGGTCAAGCTGGCAAATCAAATCCACAGACAAACCCCCATCTGGAAGTTGAGAAGAGCAACTTCTGCGGTTAATACACAGGAATTGTATCATGGGCTTCAGCAGGTTTCTGCGATTCTCAGATCTTCTTGAAGGAGCGCTGACGTGGCGTAGCTATATCTCAAAACAGCGAGCGCCAACCTAGCAGGACAATGCAGCAAGCAGAACCTTCATTACTTACTGAATCGGCGTTGAGCGCATTGGTAGCTATAAAAGAATTTTTGCCTTTTTCAAAGTTGGGCTTTATCTATTATCTATCAAGGATTTACCCTGATTTGTTACAAGAAGCCTGCGGGATGGGGGGATCCTGACTTGAGAAATCTGAATCCAAGTCACATTTTTCAGCAAGGCGATCTGAGGCCACAACGCCAATTATTTGCGAGTTCTGCTTCTGAATCAAGGTCAGAGTGTCCTCCAGTGGCAAACTGGCGATTTTGGGCGACATGTTTTACGAGTCCGCAGCTG